GGTGTATCAAATGGGGCCTAAGAGTTTAAGTTTTACTAATTTCAAATTTAAGATATCAAGTTTAAAATTTCAAATCTCAGATTTTTTAAAATTATATTTATAAATTAATTAATTAAATATATTAATGTCACAATTCCATATAATTTGGCCACAAATTTCATATAATTGGTTACAAATCACAAATTTTATATGTCACAAATTATTTTATAATCACAATTCCAAAATTTTATAGTCACAATTTGTTTATCTGTCACAAATCAAAAATTTTATAAGTCACATATTATTCATTGATCACAAATTTTATATGTCACAATTTATTTTACAATCACAATTCAAAAATTTTACACGTCACAATTTGTTAATCGGTCACAAATCAAAAATTGAACATCACAAATTATTTTACAATCACAATTTTTTAAATGTTACAAGTCGCGAAATGTTATAAGCCACAATTTGTTCATCGGTCACAAATAAAAAATTTATATATCACAATTTATTTATCGATAAAAAAATTACAAATATTATAAGTTACAACTTAGTAGACAGTTACAAATTATCAAATTATCGGTCACAAATTAATAATTTTTTAGGTCATACATTATTTTTTGGTCACAATTTATCTTTTTCATTGATTGAATATTATTTATCAGTCACAGATTAATGAATTTAATGGTTACAAACAACCAAATAATATGTGACCAACAATAGCACTTGTGATCACCACCTCACCACTGCCACCAACAACATGAGAACCAAACCTCGTAGTCAGAACCACACTACCTCCCGCCAGCAAACCATTATCTAAAAATGCCGACAGCACAACGGCCCCCACTACCCACCCACAACCACTGTTTCACCACCACCCCCATCCTACAACCCAAAAAAAAAAAAAAAAATCCCCAACCCCTACCATCATCTCTGTCATCGTCACCGACCACCACATCACCACCCAACCACCATTAAAACCACAGATCCACCACCACGCCCACAACATACCACCACCTCTCACTACAGATCCACCACCACCACAACAACACGGGTCGCTCCACGCTACCAACAAAAACGACCACTGCCAACAACCAGGAAAAAAAACTCTGCAGATTGGAAACCACCGCACACCTCATCTAAAAAAGATGAAGATAGATCGCGACGATGTCGTTCACAGCAGTGTCGGTCGGCGATGTACATTTGGCCAAAAATCTAGCCAAGCGATAAAGCGCATAACAGCAACACACATCAACTTTTTGCTCATGAATATATAAAAGTGATTTAAAAACACTGCCCCAATCCAAATCTATCATATTGCAAGTGATGGAAAGTCTTCGTATAAATGAAATCATGAAAATTAACTTCAAAGGCAAAGTGTGTCTTGCATGGGAAACTGCCCAGAGGTGAAGCTATATAATCGGGCAGTCGCGATTTCCGAAGACACCGGAGTCCGGATGGATCCTCCAAAACCATCTTCAATTTTGGGGAAATGAGTATGGGCACGCAGGTAAAACTTACAGGCCTTTGCCACCCACAGTCACCACCGTCAATGTGAAACCAGAAATCAAATTCATCCATATCAAGCCAAAAAATCAAACCCCTCCACCTTAATCAAAACCATAAATGAAATTACCAGCCACCTACATGTCGTTGCACTGATTTTTCATTTGTAACCTCTTCAACGACTGCACTGAAATCAAAAAATCGATGCATTAGTAGCTGCTTGGCTACCGAGAATTGGATTCCTCCCAAGTGAGTATGTGAATGGGAAACTTGCAGCAGCGCGAGATCAAGATTTGAAATCTCAAAAGCTGCATCAATTGTTTGTCCCATTTTTTTGTTTAAATACCATCATCAGCTTGGATGCCTAGATTGTGGGAGTCGACCGATGATAGTCCGCGACAGTAGGTGTGATCGAAAAAGAAGTTGTCGACAGTTTTTGAGTTAGCGAGCTGGGGGTTTTGGGTGGTTATTCCGACGACATCTAGTGGAGTTAAGAACGGTGGTTGGATGGGATGTGTAGAGAGGAATGAATGCTTTTCGGCAGATTGGACAGTCTTGAAGAAGAATATGATCGACGGTGGTGTCGGTCGGTGTTGGTGGCTGATTTTCAATTGTAGGGTCGGTTGGGAGTGAAGAAGAAACCATTTTTCATTTCTTTGGTCTTTTATTTTTTTGTTTATTTATTTAGTGTGGTTTAAATTTACCATTGTATCCCTTTCAATTTAGTCAAAATTCACCTTTCTTGGTCAACTATGGTCAAATAAATGTTTCTATCTATTTGGACTCCAACTGCATATTTATGAAAGGTAACGGCACCTTCATGACACAAAATAGAAGTTAGAATAAAGTTTGAAAATATTGGGTACCGTTTCTGCAATTTTTCCCAATGTAAATGAATGGAAGATGGTTTCAACACTAGTTATTCACTCGCAGAAGAGAAAATTCAAAGCACAAAGGCGCGTGGTGGACCTGGATTCTAATTTCTATCTATTATTACGTAAAAAAAGGGAAAAAATAGTTCCAATAGAAGGATCTAGAAACCCTAGAGAAATTACTATATAAACCCTCTAACATATCACAGTGTCCATCTCCGACTTCTTCTTCTGGATCTCTAGAAACTCTTCATCGTCTGTCATTTTCTATATCAAATCTTATCTTAGAGAGAAAAAGTAGAGAATTGCAATGGCTGAGCAAGAGACGTTTGCTTTCCAGGCTGAGATCAACCAATTGTTGAGTCTGATCATCAATACCTTCTACAGCAACAAGGAGATCTTTCTCCGCGAGCTCATCAGCAACTCTTCTGATGTAAAACTTCTATTCTTCTCTGCTGTTATCCTGTTTTAATTTGGTAGATCTGTTTTCATTTACTGTTTTCTGTTCCTTGTTCTCAATTTATGTTTGATTTTCAGGTTTGAATGATGTATTTCTGTTACTAGTCTTAATCGGGTGATGGAGATTGATTGATTTTTGCTTTTCCCTTCTTTAGTTACTTGGTAGAATTTTTTATTTTTTTCATTTTGGACTTTTTGTTTGAAAATATTATGTGTCGGATTAGGTTACGCATGACACCCCTGTATGCTTTATTCGGACTATTATATGCGAATGTATAGTCTAATGTTGCTTAATATTTGTGCTGTTTGTGTATCATTTGAGAATTATGCTTATTTCCCCAAAATAGCCTGAAATAGGATTTGGATTTCTATTTGGGTGACTTGTAAAAAAATAGGTACAGAAGTATAAACTATATAAAGTGACAGCATGTTCTGTTGTGTGAATCTTCTGCTTTACTAGCCTCTTCCAGAAATTAATGCATCACATGGATCAAAATCAATTTGCATTAATTGCATAGTATGTTATTCAACTTTTGCCACTTGTAAATTTAAATTGCTGCAAAGTTTTGAGTATGAAGTCAGTCAGTAACAAGCAAAACCATTTGATTGGGTTTATTCCTCTCGTCACTTTGACCTAACAATATAATTAACGACATTCATTGATATTGATAAAAAAGAGTATACCGATGTATAGAATGAACTTCTGTGGAAAAAAATTGCCCGATGTGTAAATTTTATATTATATAAATATTTGATTACAGCGGTTTTTGTTATCCTGAATTGGATTCATGTTTGTCACACCTGGAAAGATGGTTATTGAGTTTGGAATTCTGTTTCCGTCTCTCTGATTTTTGGATGTTGCTTCTAGGCTCTTGACAAAATACGTTTTGAAAGTTTGACTGACAAGAGTAAGCTCGATGCTCAACCAGAGCTTTTCATTCACATTATCCCTGACAAGACCAATAACACACTGTCCATCATTGATAGTGGTATTGGAATGACCAAGGCTGGTAAGTATAGCTCTAGTTGAAGTATGTTTCATGTTGTTTCATTATTTTTATGCTACAGGGCCATCTAATTGGTGTCGTTGGGAATTTCAGATTTGGTGAACAATCTTGGTACCATTGCAAGGTCTGGAACCAAGGAATTTATGGAAGCCCTTGCTGCTGGCGCTGATGTCAGTATGATTGGGCAGTTTGGTGTTGGTTTCTATTCAGCGTACTTGGTTGCTGAGAAGGTTGTGGTCACCACAAAGCACAATGATGATGAGCAGTATGTGTGGGAGTCCCAAGCAGGCGGTTCATTCACCATTACTAGAGACACTGCTGGTGAGAGCCTTGGCAGGGGCACCAAGATTACTCTCTTTCTCAAAGAAGACCAGCTTGAATACCTTGAGGAGCGCAGGTTGAAGGATTTGATCAAGAAGCACTCTGAGTTCATTAGCTACCCAATCTCCCTTTGGGTTGAGAAGACCACAGAGAAGGAAATCTCTGATGATGAGGACGAGGAAGACAAGAAAGATGAGGAAGGAAAGGTCGAGGAAGTTGATGAAGAGAAGGAGAAGGCAGAAAAGAAAAAGAAGACAATCAAAGAAGTGTCTCATGAGTGGAATTTGGTGAACAAGCAGAAACCCATCTGGATGAGGAAACCTGAGGAGATTACGAAGGAGGAATATTCTGCTTTCTATAAGAGCCTCACCAACGACTGGGAGGAGCACTTGGCTGTGAAGCACTTTTCAGTTGAGGGTCAGCTTGAGTTCAAGGCGGTTCTCTTTGTTCCTAAGAGAGCACCATTTGATCTCTTTGACACCAAGAAAAAGCCCAACAACATTAAGCTTTATGTGCGTCGAGTCTTTATCATGGATAACTGTGAGGAGTTGATCCCAGAGTATTTGAGCTTCGTGAAGGGTATTGTGGACTCTGAGGACTTGCCTCTCAACATCTCCCGCGAGACGTTGCAACAGAACAAGATTTTGAAGGTCATCCGCAAGAATTTGGTCAAGAAGTGCATTGAGCTCTTCTTTGAGATTGCAGAGAACAAAGAAGACTACAACAAGTTCTACGAGGCTTTCTCCAAGAACCTCAAGCTGGGTATACATGAGGATTCGCAGAACAAGACTAAGATTGCTGAATTGCTCAGATATCACTCCACCAAGAGTGTCGATGAGCTGACCAGCTTGAAGGATTATGTGACCAGGATGAAAGAAGGGCAGAACGACATCTACTACATCACTGGTGAGAGCAAGAAAGCTGTTGAGAATTCTCCCTTCCTTGAGAAGCTGAAGAAGAAGGGCTATGAAGTCCTCTACATGGTTGATGCTATCGATGAGTATGCTGTTGGTCAGTTGAAGGAATTTGAGGGCAAGAAGCTCGTTTCTGCGACCAAGGAAGGTCTCAAGCTAGATGAGAGCGAGGATGAGAAGAAACGGACGGAAGAATTGAAGCAGAAGTTCGAGGGTCTTTGTAAGGTGATTAAGGATGTTCTAGGGGACAAAGTTGAGAAGGTTGTCGTATCTGACCGTGTTGTTGACTCACCTTGCTGTTTGGTGACTGGAGAATATGGGTGGACAGCTAACATGGAAAGAATTATGAAGGCACAGGCTCTGAGGGACTCAAGCATGTCGGGTTACATGTCGAGCAAGAAGACCATGGAAATCAACCCTGAGAACTCCATCATGGAAGAGCTTAGGAAGAGGGCTGATGCTGACAAGAATGACAAGTCTGTGAAGGATTTGGTTTTGTTGCTGTTTGAGACTTCTCTACTTACTTCCGGGTTCAGTCTTGAGGAGCCCAACACCTTTGGCAACAGGATTCACAGAATGCTCAAATTGGGTTTGAGCATTGATGAGGATGCTGGTGAGGCTGATGCTGATGTTGACATGCCAGCGTTGGAGGAAGTTGATGCTGAGGGTTCCAAGATGGAAGAGGTCGATTAAGCTCTTATGTCTTTTCACATTTTGATTATTCAAGTTATTAATTTTAGATGGGACGATATTGTGTTATCCGTTTTTGAATGCTTTTCCTGACGTTTTAGTTCCTTCGTTGAATGTTTACTATTTTGCAACTAGTTCCGTTAAAGTTAATATACAATTTGCTTGCTTCTCGCTTAAATTTTATTGAAATTTATTAAGAAATTAATTTTAATTCTAACCAAACAGGCTTAGATTTAGAACATGCTAATTTGTTAAATTTGAATCCTACCCTCGATCTTTTACGTCTCTCCACTAATAAATATAAATAAAGTGGCTAGCATTGAATTCCGTACATTTTGGCAATTGCAATTACAATCCCAGAATTCGGAGTCGACGAGACTTGCCTTGAACACAAAATGTTGCAAGACACTGGCGACCTGGTTAAGGAAGCTCCTACACTAATAAATGGTGATTCGGTTGATTTTCCCAAGTTCGGTATAGGAATTGCACAATGAGACGTGACATACTCGAATTGGGTAAACTTCTCTCGTCCTCTTAAATTGTCCCATGGCCCAATAGTTGATCGCGTCATTCCAGAAGCCAGTCATAATAGTTCAATCAACTGTTTTCATAAGAGTAGATCTGGCTGACCAGCTCGACGTCTGAGTGCAACGAGGCATGTCACCAAAACGTTCCTGGAAATGATCAATCGACTGAAACGAACCCTCAAGTGATAATGTCTGTTGTACTGAACCTGATGTGTCCACAATAAAATTAACATGCAAAGTTTTGGAATGGGCCAATGGCTTTAACACCTTTGGTTAATCAAATTAGCAGTTAATCCCTATATTTCCTTCTGAAAACCCACTTAAATTATGGCTACAACGGACAAAAAATTACATTCTCCGCTGGTGAGTGGTGAGGAATAATTTCATCAACTGATTATTGCTACAGTTTTGAGTTTTCTAACAGCAGAAGTATAATAGCAAGTACACTAAAAAGCTCAAAGCAGCAGAGACAACTTCCATTGAACAAAAAAGTACTTAAATAACGAATAATATGACACAAAGTATTAATAACATTCCAAAAACAGTAAAAGTTTTGCAATGTAAATCTATCCGACTGACAACAACACAAGATGACAGCGTTTTTGGATAAGAACAGTTATAAAACCAAGCTAACCTTATATAAAAAACAACAAACTTAATCACAGCCGGGAACTAGGTATCCTCAACTCTTGAGTGAAAAACAAAGCTCGGGAATGTAGTGGTGATATCCCTGTTTCAAATAAGGAGCAGCAGATAATAAACCAAATCTATCAAAGTGCAGAATATTAAGTATGTGACTGTTGAGACTATAACAGTGACTGATACAAGATTCAGTAGCGTTAGAGCTGATATTTGTAAAATTTTCCCACCACCACTCATGTTTCAGGAGCAGAATATGAGTGGTGTGCAAATTTTATGTCAAATATACTTTCTGTTTTCGATTTAAAGATTCTATTCAATGCACATAACAAATATATTTTCGGATTTGCTTGCAATAATTTATATACAATATCAGAATACAGCAATTTTTCTCTCTTATCGTGGGGTAAGGGGGGCAGATTGAGGAATGCAGTCAGATTTAAGCAATTCAGATGCTTCAAAACATTATTCAACTGATTATAAGGCAAGAGCGGTAAGGAAAAAAAAAACTATGTTTCTCAACTAATATCCAATAGAAATGTGTGAATGCCGACTCTGGTACATACTTGAGATATTGAAGGGTCATATTCTTCAATAGCGATGGATGTCTCAAAACTAAACTTCTCCATTCTTCTTTATCGATCTTCCCGTCATGCTTAGTATCAGCTTCTTCAAAAGTCTGACATATAGACGTAAACATCATCAATAGTATTTCTATCATATCCTTGTCTTCATAAAGGAATGGGAAGGATCTTGAACTTGATGCAAAAACTCCATACCCCAGTTTCTGTAGTTAAAAAATATAAATGGGGATATAGACTGATAAAAACGCCACCTGTGATGTCTTAACATGGCATTTATAGATATGGGCCATTTGCATTTTCTACACGTAGATGACTTATCATCTTTGAAATATTATAACATGGAAGCCAAGCTTGGGGGATCGTACATCTTTTGGGGGATTGAGTTTACTAATTCATCTTTCTCGCCATAGAGGCCTAGGATGGGATTTACTCGGGTGAATTGCAATCTATGAAGACATTGAACTTTAAAAGAACTCTACAATCCATTCTCTAAACCAAAAAAAACATGTGAGGGAATGATAAAAAAGAAATTGAAAACATAGATTACGAAATTAGATTGATGAACCACCTTATCAATTATGCTCTCAATAACGTCATCAGACAGGTTCATACCAGATTCAGCAAGAGTGGCAACTACCATTTGCTTCACCTACATATTTAGAAACAAGCTATTAAACATCTCAAAGAGAAACGTAAGACTTGAAAAGAATACAAGGTCAAATATTTAAGACAATAAAGAAATATTAGCATCAGTAGTCTCTCAATGATATTTACAATTAGCTCTATGGACCAGGGATTCAGGGCATATATATTATACAATAGACAGAAAATGATTATGGGAAATGTCAAACATCAACCTGTAGTTTGGTAAAAAGTGCTCTCCCCAAAAATAATGGTACAGAAGTTACTAAAGTGTAACTCGAATGTTAGGGTTGGGTTACAAGCAAAGCTAATTTTACTTATAAGCAGGAGAGAGAGTTTATAATCCCACCCAAACATGCTCAAAGAAAATTAGATCTAGTCAAAATTGCATGGATTCATGTAAAAGAGCTCTCCCTCAAAGGATTCTGATAAGTAACAGAATTAACTATGAGTCCGACATATAATTTTATCATGCAGGCATTAATTGGGGGACAACAAAACAGAAGAGAAGGACGGAGAAAAGTGACAGAGGAGGCAGCGATCTACTCTGAAAATGAAATGAAAAGGTTCGCATTCTTTTAGCTTGTCTTATTCAATTTCTTCATAAATCCGATTTAGAACAAGATTTCATATATTATACAGAAAGTTAAAGCTTGTTTGGGAACTGTTTTGTAACGGTTTATAATTATAAATAGATAGAAATGATTAGTTTACAAGTGAGTAGTACTTGTGGGTTCCACGAAACATGTGGATAAAAAGCGGTTTGACTGTTTATAAAAAACTTATAAACATTAACCAAACATAGGCTTAATTAAATTTTTCTTGATTCTTTAGCTGGTGAAAGAGAACAATCATGAAAATTCTACACAAATTGTTGAACTGGAAGAAAAACATTCAAAAGCTTGTTTTCTGATTCTGGTTTCAAGGCTCGCCAAAGTTAGGTATTCAATAACTTACTATGAAACAACAAGCATTACCTCTTGCCTCTCTATGAAACCTTGTTGCTTGAGATCATACAATTGAAAAGAAACTGCAATGGTAGAGTAAAATTATAATAAAAAGGGAAGTCAGTAATTTAGGGGCTTCAAAATATGAAAATGTATTCAATTACTAGAATATCATGTGATGAATTCAACGTACACTCAATCTTATCATCAATAGGAGCATTTGGATGGAATACAGAAAGTGCACGGGCAAACTCCTCGAAACCAAGTATTCCATTGTGTTTTGTGTCGAACAAATCAAACACCTGCTTTAGTAGTATGAAAGCAGAAAATAAGCTTTTTGAAGCCCTTCTAAAACATTAAACATAAGTATGTAGTAAAGAATGAAAAAACAGAAGTTTAATCTCGAGGTATACTACCACACTCCTACAATTAACAAAATGAAAATGCACACATGCATACTTGTGTGTGTGTGCGTTCAAGCATAAGTATTTATTTGTATGTAAGGGCAATGTTGAATTCATTTTGTAACACATAGCAATCGGATCGTGTGTCAGCAGCACTGATTTCTTGGTAATGTGCAATCCAAAACTATAACGAGATTATTTACTTGGTAATTTTCCATAAAAAAACTAAATGCTAGAAAGGTTAATAAAGCATGAGAGATGATAAAAGTGAGAGTACCCGATCAGCAAACAAACTCTCTTTTTTATTTGTCTTGAATAATGCTAGTTGAAATTCTTCCTGCAACATGGTATTGACAGACGTGATTTAACATCGTAACTGTTTTTCAAAAGGGTAACAGCACAACAAAATGAAGAGCAAAAAAGGGGAATCACAGAGGAAATTCATTCAGAAGTGATCATTGCACGAGATTTATGAACCTTATTGATCAGCCCGTCATCGATCACAGCACTGCTTATCTTCTTAAAAAGCTCATAAAGTGCTTCAATCTCACTTACGCTAACTGTATTCAAGAAATCATTACAAGAAAACCAAATTCCTCAAATCACCACAGAAAAAACATATTAACACAAACACCAAGAAATGTATGTGCAGGTCTGGTTAGATCTGATTATAACTCGGATTGCCCAAACATAATTGGAAGCATTGGGCCAATATAAGAAATCCTGGATGGCATTCAACTATTATATAATATTAGAAATCTTGGACATTAACCAGCCTATTATGTGATATTGGAAATCATGGACCGTAGGCCTATTAGGTTATATTGGATATTTTGGATGGCAGTCTTTTCTCATAAGAAACTGAAATTTTGTCAAAATTATATGGAATAGCACTAGCCACTAGTTTTTCACATGCAAGTAAATCTCAATAAAACTTCATACAGATTACAAAGACAGTGGAGGCAATAGCATACACACGGTCTCTCCTGCAAGCATTTCAGGATCCTCAAAGCTGCTTGATTGGCTACCAGGTTCACAGCAATGAATCAGTGTAGCACACAAATGCTTGATCGCCGCTAAGCACTGCAACATGGTATATTGTATACGTCAACACTCTCCATATCTGTTCAAGTAACATCTTCCTTAAGCCAAACTTCTATTAGAAAAGAGAAAACACTGATCAGAAGAAATAAAAGCAACCTTTTGACCATTCTCCGCTTCTTGTAAGACAACAAACTCCCAGGAATCGGTGCAAGCTGGAATTCCAAAAATCCTATACCTGACTACCTGAGAATCAATCTATACGTAAATTATGTGAAACCATCATAGAAAATTTTAGAATTATAATTTTTTATAGATTGAAGGGCCCTGTTTGAACCCTTTAAAACTTATTTTACCCAACTCATTTTCAACCACACATTCTTCCAATAAAATAATTTTACACGTACATCCAAAAATTTTCATTATTTTTTAACCACTCCTTTCCCAAAAAAATAAATAAATAAATAAATAATGACAAAATCTATTCTAAAAAAATGGGCTCAACCAGGGGCTGGTATTAAAGAAGTAAATTAGCATCGTTAGCAAACTGTTTTGTTGATTGCCAGATTTAATATCACACAACCTTATAACTTGAACAGATTTAATTTCAGTAAAATCCTAAATTTAACTCTTCAAGTTCACTCCTATGCTATGTACAGATAAAACCATATCAACAACTTACAAGCCAAAGCAACCAAACCACAAATTTTAACAAAGCATACTAACCTAAAATCACTTCACAAAAAAAATTAAAAAAAAATCATTCAACTTCGATCATTTTGATGAGGATGATGATAGACAGATCCAGTGAGCATAAATAAATAAATGAATAAATCACATCTTGTAAAAGAAAGGGATACAAAAAAAAAGGAAGAAAAAATCCTTACAACTTCTGGAATTTTCAATATGGTTACTCAACATAGAGTGTAACCTGTCATCAAAATCTAATCATTAAAGCGAGAAGAGTTGATATTTGCTATTTAATGAACTTTGAACGTGGGCGAGCAAGCACAATACATTGGAGCAGACGAATATTTTAATTTTAATTTTAATTTTTGACATTTAATTGAAAATAATACCTAATCATTTGATTCGTTGGCAGCACGATGAGGAGGTTGAGATGTGCGCCAAGTGTTCATTTTGTCCACACATCATTATTTACGTGCCCCATCTTATCATCCTTTGACATGGACGCTTTTTACCCTCTCTCGTGTAAAAAAACATAAAAATATATTTAATTCCTATTTGAAAATAATCGAAAAATCAAAAGGGGATAGTTTCCAACATTTTTATTCACGATAGTGTTACTAGCAAAGATCGTTCAATAAAAACTCAAGTGCAAAGCGTGATTGTCTTGGACCGAAAAGCGTGTCCTAAAGAAGAAACGAAGAACAAGTGATCACATAGGCGAGCAACGAGTTCGATGACCAGGGTTATAATGAAAAGGGACGAGCTGCTGTGCCAGGTCGGTAAAAGACCTGGCACAGAAGTGTGAGATGGTGGGTGTGTGTTTTAACATTTTTGGGGGGTTTTTTTAATGAGGTGGGTCCTCGGGACCCACCTCATGTAAGATAGCCTGTAAAAGACCTGTGAGGGAAAGCCTGGTAGAGAGGAAAAATCCTAATGAAAATGAGTTTTTCTTATTTAAAAAGGCATTATAGAGTAAAGAAAAATGTGGCTAAGTTTTTTTTTTTTTTTTTTCCATTTTTTAGCCACTTATTGGATATAAATGTAGGAGAAAAATTAGTTTTGAAATTATTCTAGAACAATAAAATGCAGAAAAAAACACTAATCAATCGAGACTCGTGAAATTATCCGGCATTTACTGCTACGACCTCTTTCAACGATCGCTCCCGTCATATAACGATCGAATCACTTGTCCAATAACTACAAATGATTTTTAGAACTATCAATATTATTTCAGAAAAAAAATCTCTTAAACCAAATAATAATAATAATAAAAGATTTTTAGAAATTTCAGAAGTTAGAGAATGATTTTTCTGTGTGTTATTTTTCAAGACGAGGAATTTATACAGTCCAAGAATCACGACTTCCAATCCATAATTTAATGAAATAACTCACTTGTTTGATTAAAAAAATCCGTAAATGATTAAAATTAATAATAAAAAGTTTTATTATAATCAAAGAAGCCAAATTCCCTAATGTCCAAACATAGATTTTTTAATATTCACACTGATAGTGATTCGAACCGTCGATCATTTAGTCATCCTATCTAATCTAATTATTTATTTCAACTAATATATTTAATATATATCTAATAATAAAATTACGGGAATTACTTTTTTTCAAAGATGTCTTCGGCTCTTATTGTATAGCTTATCCTTTGAGACAATTACATAATTCAAAAGAATTTAAAAATGCAAAAATACTTCATTATAAAAACAAACTATATTAAAAATTCATAATATAAAATATTAAGGAGATTATAAGTATAACTTCCAAATAAACATAATATAAATAATAAATTTTCAAACGAATAACAAACTTGTAATATTATCTACTATAGAAGTAGAAATAGCCTAGAGTGTGTTTGGTAGGGATTTTTAGGGAGAAAATTGATTTTTGAATAGTGATATGATGGGAAATGTGTGGTTGAAAAAGAAGAAAAAAGTATTGATGTGCTGGAAAATATTATTTTATTGAAGAATGTGTGGTTGAAAATGAGAATTGATTTACTGTAGGAAATGAAAATCTGTACCAAACAGGGCCTCAATAAGAGAAAGTGAAATGTGTCGATGACTTTTCATTTTATATATAATGTCTACCTTCTCTTTTCACTTACTCGTTATAAAATGTACTAATTAAAGTTAAATTTATTCAACGTAGCTAATGACCGGTGAGAAAAAGTCATTTTGATATAAATTATACAAACACTCAATTCTCTTTTCTTCCCAAGTAAATTATTATTATTTTTCCCTTCAATTAGACATGTTTAAGAAATTGCATTCGCAATGTTTCCTTGTCCTTATCTATTGGCTATTTGCTAAGTTGTTGGCTTGATTATTCGATAGGGTAGTGATATTTAGCATCATTGGTGTTAAAACATCAGTTTATCTGACATTAATGTGACATTAGATGAGAGATACAATTAAATTAGTTACTTACTTATCGTTACCTAAACTGAAGGATGAACCGCATCCTTAGCAGCCCCCACCTGCCCTGTGCCTTGGTGAATGAGGTAAATCGCAGGTTATGCCTCCAAGGGTACAAGGTGGAAGGCTGCTTGTACACTTACATTAACCCAATGGTCAAGTCCATATTTCAGAATTCGAACCCTTGACGCGACGCCTTAAGCAAAGTTGAAATTTTTCCACATTCCCCTTTTACCACTTGGAGATGTGCCCTGAGGGCTATCGTTACCTAAACTGATGTTATAATACTAGTAGTTCTAGATAACATTATTATATTCGAGAATCAATAAAATATATTTTTTTGCTGATAAATTCCTTTTTAACTAATTATCAAATGTTAGTACCCACTATTAATTAGTCACATATTTGATACTTAGCATAGAATAGAATTCGATGATAGAAAATATAATATCTTAGCTCTTTTTTTTTGTTAATATTGCTTAGTATACGGAGTCCATATTTTTGGAACATCCAAAAGTCCTCCATGTACCTGATCGAAACGTTTCAATTTAAGATTAAAAGGACCTACGACGATTGAAACAATTTTCTCATCTCCTATCATATAGGTTCCACTAGGACGGGAAACTCGGTCCCACTGAAGAGTTTTCATTTTCAAAAATCAATTCAAAGAAATGCTCTGCTCAAGTATAACATAATTATGAAAGAGAGATTGGCCACAAAGGACAACCGATATGCTACAAGGGTTGTGCTATGTGTACATAATGATGTACACAATGCATTACACCCCCCTTCACATGGAGGAGGGCCCACACACAATAAAATATTTGTGAATCCCTCTTCATGTGAGGGGGGTGTAATGCATTGTGTACACCACAAGGTGTACACATAGCATTATTCATGCTACAATACGCATCAATCATACATAATGCAACGGTAATGGTTGAAGATTGACATGTAACTGTTTGAGTTTGTTATGTAGCACATGTTGCATTTTGCAGTAAGCTAATCAGAATACAAGGCACTCTTTATTTGCTTAAAAAAAGAAGCAGCTAAAAGCAATGTCATTACATAATGCTCAACGTGTCTTATAAGTGATATTCGATCGTAATACTTCCTGTCAATTTATTTATTTTTTGGTTAAGTAACCATTCAGATCGAGTAAGGATCAAATAGAAGTATAACATATGGCGATTTTCATTGAGACAAACGATGGTGATGTATGGACGCACACGTGCTTAGAAACAATAGAGTGAGAAACCCACAAAGAATGTGCTTGTTATCTCTATGTATCATCCTAAATACAAATTTTAGTCAATTTTCTAGGTCAAGGGCTATAAAATAACTTACTAACCAAATTTCATATTCACCATTTTTGCAGTCAATCTCTTGAACTCGTCAAAATTTTCACAATCAAATCCTCCTTCGACAACGAATCGACAATCCATTCCATTTAGAAATCCACAGAGTTTATTCAAGATGCACACAATATTCCAAGTAGTGAGTGAGCCTATCCCTTCCAGGGACGGAGCCAAAAAGATACATTAGGCTAGGCTGAAATTTAAATTTTTTTCAATTAACTTATACCATAAAAGATACTCTAAACCACATGATAAAACAAAAATCGGACCCAAAATCGGACAAAATCATGCCCGGTTAACTGATTATGACAAACTGCTCAAAACTCACTGAGTCGGCCAGTTCAACCGTAAACTAGTGAACTAGTCGCGGTTTGGTGCTTTTCCTTTTTTTTTTTAGTTCTAAAAATTTTAATTTCATGAATAGACCTCATAAATTACAATTCAAATGCCCATAGAAAACTATTGGATGACATGCTCGTTTTATAGATGCATTTCTCTCAAATGATTTCTTAAACTTCCAATGTGGGATAGTGGCAATTCTATGAGTTTAAACTATTTTAATTTAACAAAGTAAACTATTTTAACATATTGATTTTTAATTTTTGAAGTATCGAGACTAATAGTAGGATAATGAATCTAATTAACAAAACTAGATTTACTTTGAATTATTAATATGAAAATAAAAAAAAAATTATTGTTTTCATTGTATTTTATTATTTTTGTATGTATTTATTGCATTCAGTTCAATTCCGGTTCGACCTCGGTTGAACATTTTGACCCTTCAATTTTTCCGAGTCAATGATCAGGTCAGTTTTTAAAACATTGGTCATAATATATTTTTAAACACTCGTAACAAAGTTCTAACAAATATATTTTTAAACTAATAAAATTAAATATATATCATATTACTTATTTTGATAATAAGAGCATTTCAGAAGCAAATTCATGATGAAAAACTAAAAAGAATAAAATTAGCCCAGCCCTAAATTTAATTCTCCAACCCAGAAGCAAATTCACGGTGAAAATTTTAAAAAAATAAAATTTGTCCCACCCAAATATTAATTTTAGCCAAATTAACTTCATTTTCAAACTCAAGTCTAAAACTGAAATGATACACAATTAACCAAATATTTAAACTCAATTAACCAAATATTAAAAAAAATTTGCTTCTAGACTGGGGGTAGGGCTACCTCCACCCCCTGCTTTCGTTGTTGGACATCAACTTACCTCGAGAGCTGAAATGGGTTCCTGGGTTGGACAAATATATATTAGAGAGAGACAAAACATAAAACTTACAAATAAAACTCTAACAACTTTTACACAAGAAAAATTGTAAAACTTTTTAACAAAACTTTTGTGGTTTCTCCACAAAACTTTTAAAAACGAACTAATATTAGCTTTTATGGGTTTTGCTATTTAAACAGCAAATTAGTTTTCTCTATAAATTTTTAACTTGTTTTTAAAAATGCGCTTTCGAAAATAGGAAAGAGAACGCGTTTTCACTATTTTGAAAAATTGAAAACAGAAAATTGTTTGAAAATGGTACATCTTAAAACACTTTAATCGATCGAAACATATAGCCCTAATTTAGTTTAACTACGAGCCATTGTTTGGTTTGAATTAAAATATCAAGTCAAAATCAATAATTAATTTTAACCATATATTTCATGAGATTCACAACTTTTTAACCACATATTTCATCAACTTTTATCAAACTCTATTAAAAATCTAATTTTATTATCTATCAAATAGGGACTAAAAGTAAATTTTAATTTAAGTCAAAATAAACATTTAATTTTAGTCATACAATTTCTTTTTTTTTTTTTTAATTTCATTTTTTTACAATTTTTCAATAATATATTCGATCGACTTTTATTAAAATTTATTAAAAATTTGATTTTTATTACAACCTATAAACGTTTTTATGGTTTTTCATTATTTAAGGACTCGTTGTTAAAAAAATGAGAGACCCAAGACGTAATGCGACTTTAGTGGAAAGTAACAAAGTTGCGAACCGGAGGAAGTTAACTTCTCTTTAATCGAATACAAAGTTAGTCGAATTTCATAATCACAAACGCCGGCAGTCCCAGCGCTTCACCGAAGACGAGCTCAATTAATACTCCGTGAGTCATGGGCGGCGAGTCACGTTACGAGATCCACCAAGATGCCTACATAAAGCTCGTCCTCCATGCCGTGAAACACAGGACCTCCTCCGTCAACGGTGTCCTCCTTGGTCGTTCCTCCGCGGACGGCGATTCGGTCGAAATCGTCGACTCTGTCCCCCTTTTCCATTCCCAGATCGGCCTCCTCCCTCCACTCGAAATCGCTCTCATCATGGTCTTTCATCAGTCGACACTCTACACGTCTCAATTTTGTTTTTGTTTTTATATAATTCTGATATTTTTTTTTTTTAAATTGGAATATAATAGATAGAGGAGTATTATGCTGAAAAAGGCTTGAGTATAGCTGGATATTTTCACGCTAACGAGAGATACGATGATTTCGAGCTTGCTACTGTTGCTAAGAATACTGGCGATCACATTACTCGATATTTTCCTCAGGCTGCTTTGCTTCTGGTACTTTTTCTCGACCGAATTTTGTGCATAAATGTTTAGTTACTCGAGATTTAGTGAGCGAAGAAAGATGTTTTCATTTGTGTGATTTTTCAGTTAGATAACAAAAAGCTCGAGGCTTTACCAAAGGGAAAAGACCGGAGACCAGTGATGCAGGTAATTTAATTTTCAACCCTGACTGGTTCGCATTGAATATTAGCTGACAATGCATTTTGGTGAACAGAAAATATTTCCATTAGCTGGTACAAATGTTTCTTGGCAGTTGGTTCGTGATCTTTAGTGGTTGTTCATTGAGATTGAGCGGAATGGTTGATCGTGGATAAAATCTAATGTGAAATTAGGATTGTCACCAACTTATTGTCCGCAATTAGCTACCCATTTTGGTTGTTGATGCTATGAGATAAGAGATTTATATATCTAGTAGTGTTCTTGGCGGAGTGGTAAACTGTGGATGCAATCTTCTGTGAATTTAAAGACAGTTATTCTTTGCAGTTAGTCACTGAAATTTGGCTGTTCATGTTTGTGAAGAGAATTCAGCCTATTAGTGTTGTTATCTGACAATTTTCTAAATTAATAAGCAAGTCCGCTTCACGCAGTGTAATCTTGCATCGTAATTTACAGGATCCCAATTCCTTTTATGGAAAGGCAGTCTTGCAATTTATAAGTCCATCTGAATGGCTCTGGAGCAACTTTTCTTTACTAGTTAACAATAGGATATGGGTAATTTCTAGCTTTGACACTAGAGACAAATTAAACATACTGTTGTAGCATGTATTGTTAAGTGGTGGACTGGTGGCAGAATGAGGCTGATGGAGTTGGAAATTCTTTCTAAAATTTCTGATATTTTTATGAAATTCCAAAAGTTAATGCTGTGACTTAATTTTTTGGCTAATTCTACCTGCCTTACAAAAACTGAATCTTATAGTTTTGTAATGCAAGAATAAATTGTCACTTGGACAGAGGATCCCACATTTTTGCCTGTGATCTGAAAGCACTTGTGTCATTCAATATATGATTTCATCACTGCATGTTGAAAATGTGTCTAACACTAAATGCTGCTCACGTTCAGTGGCAAGTATGTACACATGCTCTCTCTATCAACATATAGACATCTATTTTAGGTTAGTGCTTCGCGGTTAAGTTTACAAATCCTTGATCACTGTAGTAAATTGGTGTAATGAACTATCCTGTTGAAATTTTACAAATTTATGTCTAACGCAGCAAATAATGCTTAGAAGATTTAGAGCCCTGGTTTCTTTAGCAGTGAACATGTGACATTCGTTCACGTTTGGGTTTTTTTGGGGCACCTGCTGGCCAGAGAAAAAACTTCTTCATGGCAGTATTCAGATTTTTATATCTGATTGTTTCTGTCAAACAAATGAAAATGATTTAGAGTCCTGATTTCTTTAGGTGTGAACATGGTGCATCCGTTCACCTCTGTTTTTTTGGGAACACCAGGAACCATCCTCCTCGCCATTGCCAAACTTGGTGATTCTTTGCGTTGCATATTTTGTGTCATTCATCTAGTTTCATACTTTTATATTGATACACCAGATACTTTGTTTCATTCTTTTAGCTATGTTTATGGTTTTCCTCAAGTTTTTTTTATTAAATAGTCATTCTTTGGTGCTCGTATCATTGCTGCATGTATGATTAAGTCAAATTTATTCCATCTCACCTCCACTGCAATTCTCTCCCTCTCTCCGTGTTTCCATGGATTGAAATGTGCACGTGCTCACTGTATATTTTCCTTCAATTTGAAGAACTAAGAGCTTTGCAAAACGATGTGCCCCTCATATCCTTCTTTGTTGTCCAGCTTTACATTAAGGATGCATCTAGAAGTTGGAAGTTGGTAGGTTCAGAGGGAGGCAACCAGCTTAGTATCAAGGAGCCCTCTGGAAATATAGTTCTTCTGGATTACCTTGCATCTGAAAAATGGAAGGATATCGTAGATTTTGATGACCACCTTGATGACATCAGCAAGTAAGAGCTACATACTCGTCTCTTCTTCGTATCTGTTTTGTATCTGGAGATTTTTGTGCTGCCACGGATAGAAATTAATGTCCGCTATTGGCTATGTACTTCTCTTGTTAGGGACTGGCTGAATTCAGAACTTTTCCAGTGACATTTGACGGGAGAAGGAAGACGTCTTTGCTTCACACAAACTGGTGCTAGGCTCTTCTTCTTTGCTCAGTTTTTTTGGAAGGCTACCCTTGAAACTTAAGATGAACATCAAATTCTGTTTGCAGGGAATTTTATTGATGTACCATATTGATATATTTATCCGTTTCTTGATATCATGGCATTTCCTGTCAGAGACCTCTGAATTTAAATTATCCATCATTTTCAACTACATATTTCAAGAAATCTATAATTTCTTTTAACGTTTCAATCCATATGTTACATAAACTTTTATCAAAAATTGTTAAAACTTTGATACTTAGCTAAACTAAACTTGCCCTTGATAAGGGTTCCTCATTCTCTTCAAGGTTTTTCTTACTCATTGCCCTGCCTGGCTGCCCCAGGGACATAGTCTGATCCTGACCTCACCCCGGCCCCTACTCCTATTTTTATTCTATTTTGTATTTTAACATTTGTATTGTATTTAAGAAAATATTATTAAAACACCAAATAAATAAACGGAAAGGGAAATGATGATATCCCATTTTTCCTTACCTTTTTTTTTGAACCCCCACCCTTATTTGCTTTTTCAATCATGCTTGGTACACAATGTTCTTGACCATATTGTTGACAACAATGGAAGTTTAAAAAATTTATCTTTTCAATCAACATTTTTTTGCCACCCACAATATTATCAACAATGTAGTAAAAAAAAATATTGTATAAATAAATTTATCCTTTGCATTTACTCGGGGCGGGAACTTTTCAAAGAAATTTCAAATATTGAGATTTATTGTCCAAAAATTGTCACGTAAAAAACCTCGAATTTTTCAAGGAAGAGAGGGAATATGGTGTTTTTTGTCTTTTCAATTAGATGTATAGGAATTATTTATAGGCTTATTGGCACAAAACATCCCTACGTTTCACAGTTATTGTGCAAAATATCCATACGTTTCATTTTTTTGCATTTTCGCCCTTATTTCAACGTTTCATTGCGAAAAACGTCATTTTCACTTTTTTTCAATGTAAAATTGCCAATATACCAACATATTTTAATAATAAAAAAAAGGAAAATAAAAAAATAAATTGCAATTCTACTCTCAAACTTTTTAAAAAATATAAATGAATCCAAAAGCCTTATTAAAGGGCTTAAGCACAAAACGTCCTTACGTTTGACACTTATTGCGGAAAACGTTCTTACGTTTCAAACTTTTTGTACTTGGTTCAATAGCACAAAACATCCCTACGTTTGACACTTATTGCGTAAAACGTCCTTACGTCTGACACTTATTGCGGAAAACGTTCTTACGTTTCAAACTTTTTGTACTTGGCTCAATAGCACAAAACATCCATACGTTTGACACTTATTGCGTAAAACGTCCTTACGT